TTGTTTGTTGTCCTATGGGACATTCTTAATATTTAGATATACTGTAATCTTTACTCCTTCTTGTTGTGAAGTGCCATCGGGTTGATTCCGGACCCATAGCTACCCTGTATAGGGTTTCCAAGGAGCAGCTAGTGAGCATGAACCACCTACCTTGTAGTTTAAACGACTTTGCAGTCTAATACATTAGCCCACAGCGCCACACCAGGACTCCTTAACTGCACCTTAATCTTTACTGTTTAGCAACTCATTTCAAAGTGGGTCCATAATCACAGGCATAGAGGCTAGGATTTACAGTACATCACAGAATGGAACAATGTAGCTGAAAACCATAGTAAATTATTAGCTGCCCTGCAGTGGTTCATTTATCTTTATATCCTAGAATTTAAGCTCAGTGCCTGACACACAAAGCCAAAAACACCAAACCAGTTTCTGTCACAATAGAACTGTTCTCCGTAGGATTTTCAGTGACTGATTTTTTAATTTAGATCACCAGGTCCTCCTTCTGAGGTAGACAGAGTTGAGCCACCACCCTGCAGTGTTAATTGAGCATATATATTAACTGTTTGCACTGAACTCAGGTTCCAACCTGACATCCCAAACTAAACAGCCCCCTGCTATTTAGTTGATTTTGACAATAGCGACTCTGACACATAAAACCCAAAACAACTAAATCCACTGTCATCAAGTCATTTCTGACTCATAAAGACCCTATAAGACAAAGTAGAACTCTTTAGGGTTTGGAGACTATAAATCTTTATGGGAGTTTACAGTTAGTTTCATATTTCTCCTGTGGCTAGTGAGGTTTGTACTTCCAACCTTGTGGTCTTTTTTGACAGGTCACTTTCACTAAGCATAAGGTTTTCAAGATTCAGCCATGTTGTACATTATATTTTTACTGCTTAAGTTGAGACTATTTGCTAAGTTGTTGTTAAGTGCCATTAAGTTGGTTCCAACTCATAGCAATCCTGTATAGGGTTTCCAAGGCTGTGAATCTTTACGGGAGCAGAAAGCCGCATTTTTCTCCCATGGCTCAGCTAATGGGCTCCAACTGCTGCCCTTGTGGTTCATAGTCCAGTGTTTATCCTACAGAGCTACCACACTCTCCTGACACTATTTACACACTCCATTTAAAATTCTGTGAGCCTTTGTATGGTGGTTTTTAAATCAAAATTTTTTCTTTATGATTCCTTGATTAAATTATGTAATATCCATCTTAAATAATGACAAAGAAGAAAATACATTTTAAATTGCTATACCATATTGATTAAATACAGGCAAGTGCTAATATTCTGTATTCTCTGAAAATGAGTGTTAAGATAGTCTATATCTTATTTGTGGTTTTTGTGCTGGACTGACATAGTTGTAGTGTCTTACTTGCCAATAACTTTTTCATTTACATATGTTTGAGATTGTTAACACTTACGTAACTGCCTGTGGACCAAAACTATTATAAGGCAAAAGTCTGAAAATTAATCTTGAAAATAAATGTTATAGAATCAGTTGCTAACAATTCTGTATGTTTCTCTAATTGAGTGTTACCCATCACAATGAATTTGAAGAATTTAGAGTTTTATATACAAAGCTGAGATTTTGTTATAAACAAAAGCCATAGCTCCTTAATTTCATAGTAAGAATTCTTATTGTTTCCTTTAACCTTTTAATGCTGCTGTTTGTTTTCAGATAAATGCAGTGTCACTTTACCTCCTTTACCTTGTGGAAATGATTTCATCAGGACTCCAGATTATCTACAATACTGATGAGGTACCATTTTCCCAAATTTTGTATTACTAAAAATCATTGCTTGGGCATTTTTCTTTTCTTTTTATTGTGGACTGGGTAAAGTTTTGCAGAGCAAATCTTGCATTTTACATTGAACAATTCACACACATTTTGTTTGATCTCATTGATTGTGGTCTCCTTAATGCAACATGACTTATCCACTCCTTCCATGTGTTTCCTGTTTCCATTCCTCCTTTCCTAATCCTTTGGTCCATGGTAAATGCTACCTTTTTTTTAATCTCAAATGGTTTATTATTCTAAAGTGTGTGTACTTCACTAGTGTTATTTATTGTTCTCCATATAGAACTGTCTATTGTTTGACTAATATTTGAGTCACTGGAAGGTTCATTTCCAGACCTGACTGGTAACTGCAGTTTTTAGATCAATAAGTATGATCTCTTAAGGTTTTGAGTTTTGTTCCACGTTTTTATCCCATTCAACCCAGGACTTTTTACTGTGATCTCTTTCAGAGCAGTTGGTAGTGGTAGTGTGGTGCTATCTAGTTCTTCTGGTTTTGTTGTCACTGTTGTTAAGTGCTGTCGAGTCGATTCCAACCCATAGCGACCTTGTATAGGGTTTCCAAGCAGCAGATGGTGAGCTTGAACCACTAATCTTGCAATTCAAATGACTTTGCAGTCTGATGCATTAGCCCACAGCACCACACCAGGACTATGATCCATTGGATCAGATGTTCTAAGTGTTTTTGATTTTCATCACTCTTCTTTTCTCCAGACAGGGACAGACAAACAGTTTACTATTTAGATGGTCATTCATGAACTTTTAAGATCCCAGTCACTACTCTCCAAAGTCGGATGCAGAGCATTGTCTTTGTGTACTGTGTTATATCAGTTGACCTTGGTGTCCCCCAATCTATGATCATGCACCTCAGGCCTACTGACTCATTATTTAGGATGTTTTTTTACTTTATTTTAATTTTAAAATCTTACTTTTATCTCATAAATAATGAAATATCCTTAAATTTATTTAATCAGATATTAGATGCATATCAATAAAATCTTTATATTTTCAATGTAAAGGACTTTAATAATGAACAAAATATATAACAGGTTATATATATTTTGTCTTATGAGGGCTCTCGCTATTTCAGGTGCTCTGAAATGAAAATTTGTGACTTTTATAAAATTTTAGAAATAATGACAGTGAAAAAGCATTTTCTGATTTTCTTACAGTTAATACATCTTTCACTACATTGCTTTCTTTTTTAATTGCGTTATTGAGATATAATTCACTCATGCAAAGTGTACAGTTAAATGGATTTATTAATATATTCACAGAGTTGAATAGCCATCACCCTAATCAGTTTTAGAGTATGCATCACACTAAAACCCTGTACCCATTACAGTGCCTCCTATTCTTCTTCCTCCCAGTCCCTAGTAACCACTAATCTTTCTGAGTCTATGATTTGTCTGTTCTATATATTTCCTATCAGAGGAGTCCTACAACATGGGGTCTTTTCACTTAATGTTCAGTATTCCTTTTTAATATAGAATAGTCCATAGTTTATTTATTCATTTATCAGTTGATGAACATTTGGATTCATCTATTTTTTGGCTATATGAATAATATTGCTGTGAACATTAGCGTACCACTTTTTGTGTATGTATGTTTTTCTTTCTCTTGGCTATGTACCTAGGAGTGGAATTGCTACGTTATATAGTAATTCTGACCTAACCTTAACTGGGTGTTCTATGTCACATTTGCTATGAAGCTGCCTCGTTTTCCATTGTTCTTTCTCTGAGGAGTTCAGTTTTTGTTTGAGGTATTTTGGTGTCTTAGGATCTTTATAGGTGCTAAAAGCCTAATTTCAGTGATGGCATTTTATTAAATCACCTTTGAAAATAAAAGACTAAGCACTAATGAATTTAACAAATATGATTTGCGTTTGCTTTGTTTCTTCAATGTTCATTAATCATGTATTCTGTGTAGAGCTCAGTTTTAAAATGTAATTTATGTTTTACATATGTTGTTGTTGTTAAGTGCTGTCGAGTCGGTTCCGACCCATAGCGACCCTGTACAGGGTTTCCAAGGGTGTAAATCTTTACGGGAGTAGAAAGCCTCATCTTTCTCCCGTGGAGCGGCTGGTAGTTTCGAACCGCTGACCTTAAGGTTCGCAGCCCGATTCGTAACCACTACGCTACCAGAGCTCCTTTGTTTTACATATAGCATCAAAGAAATGCAAATATCCAAATTTTTTTTTTAAAGACTGAAATTGGTATCAGAAAAGACTTTGTAACTTGCTTTAGCACATAATGAAGTAAAGCAACTGGAAGAAATGATGAAGTCAGAGTGCTGAACAGAAACATGAAAAGGATTGCTTGGGAAGACAAAGTATTATAATGCAATGTGTAAAACCTAGATGTAGCACATCAAAAGGAAAGAACATGTTCTTCATGTCTCAAGAATGAATTGAAGAAAAGGTTCACACCTCTTGTTGCAACATGGAAGGATTCTCTGGCCAAAATACTGATTGGTGCAGGAAGCATGAAAAGAAGACAGAAGTTATACCCAAAGTCAATGTAACAAGAAGCATTGGTTGACTGCAACTATTTCAGGAGGTAGCATATGATCAGAAACTGATGGTATTGAAGGAAGTTGTCCAAGCATTGCTGAAGGAATTGGCAAAAAAAAGGTTCCAGGAATTAATGGAATACCAATTAAGATATTTCAAGAAACAAAAATGATAGCAATTTGGAAAGAGTATTTGAACTTCTTGAATTGTGAATGTCACAAGCAAGTTCTGGAGGTAGGGTACTCACTTGTCTGTGCCACAAAATGGAGGACAGCTACCGGGTCTGTTGATTAAAGGAGATTCATATTTGTGCCCAGTCTAAAGAAAGGTGACCAAACATAATGCAGAAATTTTCCAACAATATCATTAATAACAAGTGGAAGTAAAATTTTGCTGAAGATAGTTTGTAAATGGTGGAGCTGCCAGAAATTCAAGCTGGATTCAGAAGAGGATATGGATCCATTCAGTGGTTCTTCAGCGAACACAGTTTTGAAAGTGAAAAGGATTACCAGACTTGAGTTTTTAAAACAAGAACCTTATGATACTTATCAAGGATGGCACTTTAGAACTAAAGAGACACAGAGATTGAAAATAAAAGAAGCAAACAAACCAATGCCAAAAAAAATTGTTTCTATGAAGTAAAATGTGAGCAAGAATTTCATAGGAATTAAAATGGACATTTACTAATGATAAATGTGTCACCTCAACAAAAAAACATAAGTCCAAATTATATGCATTTAATTTTATATATAAGAGCATATATATATATATGTTGTTAAGTGCTGTCGAGTCGGTTCCAACCCATAGTGACCCTGTGTAGGGTTTCAGAGGAGCAGCTGGTGAACTTGAACTGCCAACCTTGCAGTTCAAATGGCTTGGCAGTTTGGCGCATGAACCCACAGCACCAAACCAGGACTCTCTCTCTCTCTCTCTATATATATATACTCACTCACATGCACATAGCACATAAACGTGCACACCTCCAAATCTGAACTAAAATGAAGAAATAAATTTACCAATTTAAAAATTCTTAATAAATTGAAACGATATACAGTATGTTCTCTGAAAATTATAGGTTTAAATTGGAAACCAGTGTATTAGTAAAAATCCATAAATATTTATAACCTAAGAAATACGTTTCTAAGTAACTCATTGGTCAAGATAATAAATCATAACAGTAATTATAGTGTTTCTTAACTCACAGCTCAACAATCATAAAACTATGGAATAAAACTATTTAAATGCAGTAAGAGCAGAAGAAAGGGGGAACATTATGAGCAGAAATGAATAAGAAAAAATATTCTTTAAAAAACTGAAAACTGTGTCTTTAAATGGTTAATGAAACAGAAAACACCCAAGTGAAAACAGTCACAAAAAAAGAGAGATGGCATAAAGTTTCAGTGTCAGAAACTGAAAAGAGGACATCATTACCAAACCTATAGATAGATAGGTATTTGCAATGAAGAAGTCAGGGTTTTGCAGACAACAATCTATTATACTATCTGTGGACTATAGAATAAAGCACAGGACTGGGATGTTGGTTTGAACCACAAGGCCAGCCGTTCAGTCTCACCACTTGCTCCTCAGAAACTGTAGATAAGGTTTGCTATAATTAGGAACCAACTCAGTGGCACTCAACAACAACAACATCATTTCTGTCATCAAGGCCACATTTTGCAACTACTGATCCTGCCTCTTTGTTTTCCAGTTTTCACTTCCCATCACCAGTAATTATCAATGCATCTTAATTTCAAATGGAAGAAGTTGGTAAATATCTTCAATTTCTTCATCTTTGGCTTTAGTGGTTAGTGTACATACTTGAATAATAGTTGTATCCTTTTGGTCTTCCTTGTAGACATATGGATATTATCCTATCACAGACAGGATGAATTTTATTCATCACAGCAGTATTCACAATAGCAAAAAGATGCAATCAACTTAAATGTCTGTCAATCTCACGTGGATAAGCAAAGTTTGGTAAATACACACAATGGAATATTATGCAATGGTGAAGAATAATGATGAATCTGCAAAACACATCATAACATGGATGAGCCTGGCAGATACTATGCTGAGTGAAATTAGTTAAAAACAGAAGGACAAATAATGTATGATATCACTACTATAAAAAGTCAAGAAAAGGTTTTCACACTAAAACAAATGTTGCTTGATAGTTATTAGGAGTAGGAGGGAATGGGGGAATAATTTACTCTTTGAAGGGTATATGTGTTAAATTGTGTGATGCGAAAGGCAGAAGAATGATGAAGACAGGGAAAGATGTGGAGGAATGCAAATGTTAAAAGAAGTAATACTGTTATATACACAATCCTACAGTGGATACCTGGATAGATAAATAGGCTGAACCTATGTGAAGATGGGAATAAACCCATAACTACATAAAGGTTTGACAGAGGATGTTTGTAAATGGGTATTTACTTTTGCTGCAAACTTA